AAGAGTTTGAGGTTGCTGTGAGCTGTGACACCACAGCACTCCACTGAGGGTGACATAGTGAGACTCTGTCTCAAAAAAATAAAATGAAATAAAAATAAATTTGGGTTTTGCAGATCAGATTTCTTAAAAATGGGATAAATTTACCTGTAACTTTAATAATTTACAATTCAATGTTTATTAATGTTAAAAAATAATTTTTATAGTTACAGTTTTTCTTGAAAGGTAAACTATTTTCTAATTGCTTCTTCTGATAGAAAGTTTAACTCAAATTTTCATTTCTCAAAATTCAGTGAGATTTGCATGTGTAAGGAATTAAATAATAGCAATTTATCTAAATACAGTAAGACTAGCTAACAGCTCAAATAGAATGTAGTAGTCTAAAATGCTGACTGCACTTTAAATGTCATAGATTATTACAAGGTTAAAATCAGTTGGTGGAATTAGTATTATAAATTTAGGTTCTTCTTTTCAGAAAAAGGTAGTTATTCTTATTTCTTTTTTTTATTTCAGATTAATATGAGGGTACAAACAATTAGGTTACATTGTTTGCATTTGTTGGGTACAGTCCAAGTTATGGTTGAGCCCTTCATCTATTTTTATTTCTTAAAGCACATTTTTAATATTTAATTTTTCTTTGGTTATAACTAAACAAAACATTAATATTTTTCTTAAATTTCATAAGTTTTTTTCTTTTAAAACGTATTTCACAGAAAAACATACATTAAAAATTTTAGGAAGGCTGGACATGGTAGTTTACACCTGTAATCCCCACTCTGGGAGGCTAAGGCAGGAGGATTGCTTGAGGGCAGGAGTTTAAGACCCACTTGAGTAAGAGTGAGACCCCATCTCTACTAAAAATAGAAAAATTAGCCAAGTGTCATGGTGGATGACTATAGTCTCAGCTACTCAGGAGGCTGAGGCAGGAGGATTACTTGAGCCCAGGAATTTAAGGTTACAGTGAGCTATAATGACACTACCGCATTCTACATGGGATGATAGAGCAAGATTTTGTCTCAAAAAAAAGCTTTTTTAAGATGTTGCTATCTGTAAGATTTAAGATCTAGGACTTTCGATTTATTAGTGGCAATATGTAACTTTTGTTATAGTCTAATTTATAGACTGTCCAGTATGTTTGGATTAAAAAGCTAAACAATTTTATGTGGATTGTTAGGAAACCCTATAGAAAAGAGAGCTTTATACATGTTCTTTGGATGGATTCAGTAAGGATTGATAGCATAGGATAGTTACTGTGCTCCTTCTAATTATTGAAAGTAAGGTAGAAATATACTAATTACTAAATGATGTATTTGTAATAGCAGTTAACCATCTGATTACTTTGTACTATTCCTTGTGGAATTGAACATTTATGAAGTTCTTTTAGATGTTTCCCTGAAATACATATATTTAAGTAGTTCCTAGTCAAAAATGTTTGTTACAGCCAGTAAAATATAACATGTCCATGAAATTAAATTTACCATGTGCATCTGTGTTTAATATTGGCCTTCTATAACCTTTTTGTTTTTCAGAAAATAATTGGTATTGTTATTGGGAAAACAGATGTCAAAAGCTTTCCAGACAGAAAAAGCTGAGTTCTATTTAACTTTTATTTAACTTTTAACTTCTATTTAACTCATTTTTCATCAACTGTGTCATATATATGTATATGTATATGTATATGTATATAACAAAGGATATATTAAGTAATTAATTTTTCCATGCCAGTTTAAATCCTTAAGAGCAATAGCCACACTCAATATTTTATGGTCAAGAACTCAATTCAGGGGCGGTGCCTGTGGCTCAAAGGAGTAGGGCATTAGCCCCATATGCTGGAGGTGGCGGGTTCAAACCCAGCCCCAGCCAAAAACTGCAAAAATAAATAAATAAATAAATAAATAAAGCATTTCTTTAAAAAAAAAAAGAACTCAATTCAAGGCCATATGTGTAGGAGAACATTAAAAGCATTTAAAATTATTATTTGATTTTTCTCACACATGATTTTAAAGGTTTGGAGTATACAATGCCAAAATAGCTAGTTAAATTGGTCAACTTATTAACTTGTCTCAACATGTGTTTTATTTAGGGCCTCCAATGCACAAAGATAAAACAGAAATTGTAGTCTCATGTCATCTTCAAATATTGTGGTGTCTAAGAGTATACCCCTGGAGCTAGACTGCCTGGGTTTACTAGTCACTGAATGATCTAAGATCTCTCCTGTATACACTGATGAAATGGGAATAAATAAAACAGATATAAGAATTAAGTGAGTTCACATATAGGATCATGTGTGGCCCATAGTGAGAACTCCATGTTAACCATCACTTTCAGCTTAAGAGGTGACAAATATATACATAAATCTCAAATAAGAGAAAATCATAATTTTGAAGATTTTTGAGTAGGGAGGTGACATGGTAAAGTAGTACCTGAAGGAAAGAAAAGTGTGGTGGCAGAATCTATGTATTTACTCAAACAACCAGATAAGTTCAATAAAAAAAATTCATTTTTCATGTGTAGAAAAAGCAGTTACATTTGGCTTTAATAGTTCTTACCCAGTTGCTTGAATTGTGGAAACATGCTATGGAAACATAATCTAAGACTAAAAATAGATTTTTAAAATTTCAATAGGTTTAGGATGTATAGGTGTTTGTTACATGGATGATTATATAATGCTCAAGTCAGGGATTTTAGTATGCCTGTCACCAGAATAGTGTACATTATTACTCAGTAGGTAATTTTTTATCCCTCGCTCCTCTCCTTCCCTACCTCTTCTTATATTCCAGGGTCCATTACACCAATCTTCTGACCACATATATCCGTAATTTAGCTCTCACTTGTAAATAACAACATGTGGTATTTGTTTTTTCATTACTGAGATACTTTACCAAGGATAATGGTCTCCAGTTCCATCCAAATTGCTGCAAAAGACATTATATTATTCTTTTTATGCCTGAGTAGTATTCCATGGTGTGTGTGTGTGTGTGTGTGTGTGTATGTGTGTATGTGTATATATATACCACATTTTCTTTATTCACTCATCAGCTGGTGGGCACTTAAGTTGATTTCATGTATTTGCAGTTGTGAATTGTGCTGTGACAAACATTTAGGTATAGAGTGTCATCTTGATATAATAACTTCTTTTCCTTTATAGATACCCTGTAGTAAGATTGGTGGATCAAATGGTACATCTATTTTTAGTTCTTTGAAGAATCTCCATATTGTTTTCCATAGAAGTTGTGCTAATTTACATTCCTACCAACAGTGTATAAGTGTTTTTTTCATTGCATCTGCTCTAACATCTGTTGTTTTTGACTTAATAATAATAGTCATTCTGACAGTGGTAAGGTGGTACCTCATTGTGGTTTTAATTTGCATTTCCCTGATGGTTAGTGATTTTGAGCATTTTTTCATGTTTGTTGGCTATTTGCATATCTTCTTTTGAAAAAACTCTGGTCATGTCTAAAGATGGATTTTTTTAAAAAAAAAATCAGTGCAGCTTTAAACTTTTGTAGTTGACATGAAAGATAAAATTCAGAATATCCAAATTAGCAGTTCCCTGCTACTAGCTTTAAAACCTTTTTATTAGCCAGGTGCAGTTGCTCACTCCTGTAATGCTAGCACTCTGGGAGGCCAAGGTGGGTGGATTGCCTGAGCTCACAGGTTCAAGACCA